TACCGGCAGCGCCCTCTTCACACCGCCCGACAGGAAATCGTGGCGCTATGTGTCTTTGCATTGACTTTGTATGTAAACGCGGCGCCCACAACGCTCACTTTGCTTTTGGTCTGTAAGCACCTTTACAAAGTTACAATCTCCTTGTTTGTTTAACGTAATGTCTGCAGTCTGTAGATGAGGATGAATCAAGTTCACCAGTTCATGGGTGCCACAAACAGGAGTCACCAAGTATTGTAGAAAGTCAGACCCACACAATGCTGAACCAGAACCAAAGACACTATCATAAAATACAGTCTGCATTATCATCTCTAATTCAGAATTCTTATCATTTCAAGTTTTAACTTTCAACTTACTCTTTTCTAAGCAAACATCTCATTTCCTCTAGCTCATGTTAACTGTGAATGAAATGTAATCTGCGTTCAATAAAGTAGTAGTCATACATGTGAAACAACAAACCTGGATTTGAACATTTTTCAGTTACCTAGCCAGGTAAAACTCCCAAATTCCAGAGTGAAAACAAATGGCGTGCTTATTGTAAAACACAGGCGAGCCAACACTAGACAAAAAGGAATACACACACTTAAATACCCAAGAGAGGTGGAGGAAACGAGACACAGGTGGAAACAAAAATCAACTCAAGGACAGGAAGTGAACTGACAAAGACCTCCAGGGGTTAAAGTAGTTTTCATCAGAATTTGATAAACGCCTGTTTGTCTCATGTCCACATTCTCACCAAAACACTTCCTATTCAGCTCAGTCAGGAGAGACTTAAATGAAAAAGAGGCTTAAAGAGGAATTAAAAGGAAAAGGAACAGGAGAGTTTAAGAAATGTGAGAGGGATGTATGGCCTACCTGGTGGAGGGGCTGTGACCACAGAGGCCAGAACCAGAATGGATGTGAAGGGCTCAGTGGGATCACCGAAGACTGCTTGATCCACCAGCTGCTGGAGCGAGAGAGGGAGGGAGGCCTGGAGCTGGAGTGATGCTGCAGTCTTTTATCTGGTCGGGGTCCTCCAGGAGAGAAAAGACAGTTTGAAAGTCTGACAGCAACAACATGATTGGCTCACAGAGGTTGTGGCAAATTCTGATTGGTTTAACTGAAAGAATGAACGCCCTCAATCTAATGACGGAGTAGGAAGCAGAAAAAAGGAAGAGAGGGGGCGGGGGAGAAATAGAGTCAGCATGAACGATGTCTTCCTGATTCAACTTCTGCTGAGCTTCAATTCTCAGAAAAAAAGGGCTGCAAAGATAAAATGAGGAACCAGCAGATCTCAGAGCAGTAAAATATCATCTTATCTGTGTTCTTCAGCAGCTGCTACAGTATCACCATATTGCACCATGGACATCAGGAGTCAGATTCTGGTGGGAGAGGAGTTTGACTCTTCACCTGTCTGTTCATGTGTGCTGTCAAACATCACCATGGATCCTGTCTGTTTTCTTATAAACACTATCTGAAGAAAACAAGTTGCATCATCGCAAACATTTATCTTAAGTAACAATCTTCACACCTTCAGCTTCCTCTTCTTCTTCTTTTCGCTTGGTGAAACACGTCATTGTCACAAATAGACCTGAATGAACAAAGTGTGAACTCTGATGGCTGCATCTCATGTTGCTGATCAAGAATTTGGGGTCTCTGTCAGTCACTGTGGATGAGAGAAAACTACATTTCAAAAGTGTAAAAGCCTCTCAAAATTGTAAAATTGTCGACAAGAAATTCAGAGAGACTGAAATCTAAAACAGACTAAAAGTCACTATGAGGAAGTGACATCATCCTAACCACAGGAAGTAGCTGCTGCGTCTCTCTACTAAAGCACTAGTTTAGAAACTCAGACAGTTCTGAGCACGAGAACAAGAGACAGAAGAAGGAGAGACTCAGAGAATCATGATGGTTGAGTTCAAATGGATTTCTTTATTTATTACAGCGGTGCTTCAGTTTACAGGTAAGAATACATATATCACATATATAAATGGAAGGCACATTGTAAAAAATAACTTGATCAATATTATTAAAGATTCTTTATTAGCTACATTTGATTTAACTAAGAAAACCAAATATGTTGTTTCTAATGTGGTGAGTTTAGTGAACTCTTGGAAACTAAGGATAAAGAAATAATCGTCACTAACTATGAACATAACAGACATTTTCTCATTTCACTTTATTTTTCATCATTTTCTCAACAGCAGCAGCTGAAAAACTTCCCCTCTCCTTCACTGTCAGAGTTGGAGATGAAGTCACTTTGCCTTGTGAAAATGTGATAGACGGTCAGCAAGAATGTGAAAATACTATATGGATCTTTGTTGGTTCAGGAAGCAGATCAACAGTAGCGCTGTTTGAACTTGGGCAGATTCACAAAGACGCCAAATCTAAATCAGACAGACTGAGTGTTACAGAGAACTGTTCTCTGGTTATAAAGAAGGTCACAGTCGAGGATGTTGGTCGTTATTACTGTCAACAGTTCATATCAGGAAACAACAAGGTCCAGACTCTCAGGTTCTTCTGTCTGTTATTATCAGTGAGTATTTCCATCATAATGTTTTCAGCTCAAACTGTCTTGTTAGAACAATATACTGAAACATTACAATAATTATGATCACAGTGATGAAGTTAACTTTACTCTTGTTGTCTTTCTCTCACAATATCTCCATCTTCACCAGTGACTGAACGTAAGGACGCTGATGAGGTGACGTTAACCTGCTCTGTGTTGAAATATGGACAGTTCTGTAGTCACACAGTGAAGTGGCTGTATGAGGGTAAAGATGTGGACAAAGATAACAAAGACATGAAGACATCACAGTCTGTCTGCTACGCCGCTGTGTCTTTCCTGGATTTTCATTTTAGTTACAAATCAAAGTCTAACTTGAAGTGTGAAGTGACAGATGGTTACTCTGGAAAAGTGCAGCTGTTCACCTTCAGCCCTCAGTCCTCAGGTGAGAAAACAGGTGAGAATATGCTGAGCTGGTGTGCGTTTCCCGAACAACCACGTAAGGTAACGTTGAACTATGTTGGTACGATGCATCGTTACACAAACAAACATCTGAAATACGACCGTTTCCCTAAACTGTCATACTTTGAACTAATTAGTTTGAGCCAACGTAGGTCGAACTAACATGTTTCCAGGTGTGTTCGTCTGACTTTCACAGCATGAAACTCACAAAACGTCATATTCTGCCTAAATATGTCAGTTGTGACCGATATTAAGTGACATTATTTTGCTAACTTATTATTTAGGCTTTTCATATTATTGTCGTACCGGCAACAACAAGAAAATCAACAATAGTATTAATGAAATCAACAATATAAATAATATATAAGCTAATCATTTATATAGCCTAAATATAGGCTGTAACTTAAGAACTATTAGCGATTACAAGACATTTAGTAAAATAGGTTTAGTATCTTTGTGTCAACACTGTAACACTATTATGAATCCCTTGGCATCTGACATCTAGGTTTTGAGAACAGCTCAGTGCGCTAAGTGTCTGAGCTTACGCATGTTCTCTATTGAGACAGATACGACTCCCGTGAGTTCTCTATTTATCTTTGTTATAAAGGCAACGAAAACTCTCAGGGATTTATTCATTACAGTACTTTCATGGATTTTATGCTGTCCCTTTTTATGTTTGTAATGAAGACTAGAGAACACCCATCTTCCCCAGAGGCCCAGAAACGTATACATGTAGGTAATATTAAAAGTCTTGTCTTTACATTCTCCGTTTTGTCCTTTAACCTTTGTACTGGGTGACTAATATTAAATTAAGTTATTGTGAGCAGACGGGTAATCTGTGAGAAAAACACCTGCTGTTTGTAGATGGTCTACACTGAGATACTTAGTAGCCTACTGAATCAATGCAACCCTACCCATGACCCCACAAATACATTTAAAAGTACTTTTACAACTACATTTTTTTTTAAATTGACCTTAAACATGTTTGTACAGCAGGATTATCTAACATTCCCTGCTTAAAACACATCACATCCACCTCCTAACACTGCATTTTCTGCTCTCTGTGACGTAGTCACCGTGAACTAAGCTTCTAACCACAGGTCAGGAGCTGTAGTTCCAACTATGCAACTTAACAACAGTTGGTGCGAACGTTCGTCTGAACTATGGTTTCAGGGAACACCTGCGTCGCTTAACGATGGTTCGTACCGTGTAAGTTACCAACTTAGTTACCTCCGTAGTTCCAACTAGGGTTTCAGGAAACAGTTGCGTCGCAACCGCAAAGTTCCAACCAAGGAAGTTGCTACCGCAGTCAGCAACGATGCTTTTGGGAAACACACCCCTGTTCAAGATGATTAAAACCACCAAAACATTTGTTTATTTGATGACTTTTCACAGTGATGAACTTTATTCTTGTTTTCTTTCTCTCGCAATATCTCTGACATCTAAACCAGCAACAACAACAACAACTAAACCAGCAACAACAACAACAACTAAACCAGCAACAACAACAACTGAAAACACAAAATCAACAACCAATGATGCTTCAACAAAACTACAAGGTAGTAACTCATCTTTCTCTGGAGTCTCTCTGTCTTCCTGTCAGCCTCTTTCTCTCCACATACTGAACTAAAACAAACTTTTTTATTGATTTTATATGTTGATTTTTAAGTTATAAAGCCAGTCATCAAAGTATAAATCAGAAAATGGAAAGTGATTACATTCTCTCTCTCTCTCTCCTCTTCTGGAGTCTAAAGTCTGAATGTCAGAGCGACGCTCGGCTGTGGGTGGAGATATTCTCTTATTCAGTCAGTCTCACTCAGTTGTTGTTGCTCAATCCACAAGATCCACTGCTGCTCACAAATCAGACGACTACATTCACAGTTAGCAAAGACATGCGGGAAAACTGTGAGCTGATGAAAGTCTGTGATTCGTTGCTACTTTAGCTGCAGGATTTCAAACAGAACTGAACTGTGCAGTCAAAATATTTCTAATGTTTTCAGAATCGTTCTGGAGGTTCATCATTGTGTCTGTGGGTTTAGCAGCACTCATAATAATTGTTGTGGCAGTCAACATCTGGACAAGAACTAAAGGTGAGAACATTCACAGATGAAACTCAGAAACAGGAAGTTTTGATAAAGCTGGATTTTCACTGTGGAAACTAAAGTCGACTCTTTCTCTTTTCTTTTCAGGGACAAAAACACAGATGGATGAAAACACAGTGAGTTTATAATGTTTTTACAGTTGGTACTTTACACAGCAAACCAGTGTTTGTGACATCTGTTCTTCCTTCTGAAGTGTAGATATAGATAGAAGAAGACAAACAGAAACAGGACTCACTGAGTTGTACTGAAGTGGCCGTAGCAGCAAAGTTCACAGGATTCATTGCAGAGAAAATTTAAACAAAAGAATATTACAATAAAAATTTAATATGACCTACAAGTAAAGTGGATGTAAGTATTATATCAATATGACAATTTAATTACAACACCAACACAAACTACAGCCTCCAAAGACGCCATAGATCTGAATCAACACGTCTTTGACACAGTGTCAATACAAACTGAACATTATTCCAGATTAAAGGGTCAGTTCACCTAAATTACATCACATCATGCAGTATTTTCTCACTTAACCTCTAGCAGCTTTAAACAACACAGATAGTTTAGTTTTATTTCCAAAAACAACGTCCACGTTACTGTACTACTATAAAATCTAGTTCCAATGCAAACTGTCCAGCAGCCAGTCAGATAAAGATCATTTATAAAACTGTGTGTAGAAACCTCACTAACAGTGTGCGTGCGCCCAAAAGCCAAAAATGGCATATGGCAAAAAATATTCAAACTTGTAAAACCGTGCGTACGCACAATTGTAAGCTAGTTCCCTTTACAGATCACAACCAACTTGAAATGTGGCGCATAGGGAGCTCCATGTCCGACCCTTCAAACGCCCATAGTTGCCTGTGAATGGTCAGTGAAACGCCCCTCGTTAATATTAATACGTCCTGACTGCAGGAAGAAAAGGAGGCAAATTCTGACAGAGAAGCTACAAAAGGAGATTTAACTCAGTGTGACACTGATGTTCCTTTGGTGAAGCTGAAACATGTTGTTTGGTGGGTAAAAAACGCACTTTCACGCACCGGAGGAAAGGGGGCGCCGGAGCTCCACCCCTTTATAACCAATCTGCAGGAAGGGGCCTCCCTCTTGAGTAGTGACGTCGCTGGCTGGGGATGACCCAGGTACCCAAGATCCCCCCGTTTGAAAAGAGAGTAAACCAAATGCATTCCACCTGTGTTTAAACATTTATTTAGGCGACACAAACAGTCCACTCCCTTAACGAGGCTGGCGATGAGTTAAAAGAAATAGCCGGTGACTTGTTGTAAATGACAATAAAATAGTGTTATTTTTCCATAATGTGTTTTTACAAGCAGCGCATCACATCCACACGCTGGCGCTCAGCGTTTGGCTCGATAAGGAAACGAACATGTGATTACAACACATGAAACTCTGCTCTCCTATTTGCTCGACTGACGCACTGAAGACGGCATCAATTTAAATATAATTTGTCCTCCTGTTCACCTTATTTATGAGAATAAATTCAATGCATGCAAGTAGGCGTATTAATTAATATGATTCCTGATTAAAGTGTCCAACATATTTGAGGTGTTCTCTTGCAGAAACAGAATCTCTGTTTGTGTTTATTATCCTCAGTCATGGTTCTTTTTGTGCGCCGCAAATTATCTTAAATTATGTTTTTTTATTGCGCACTTCAGGGGAAATCAATCAAACGAGTGTGTGATTATTTAGAAAGGCTTTAAGCCTATACTACTCAGAGGTAATATTTCTATATATGCTACACAGTAGTAGGCCTTCATTTCAAACAGTTTCATCCTTCTGCCATGTTTCTCATTTCTCCTCTTTATGTGCGTACGCATGGTTCAGAGTTTACTTACGGGACGCACATTTTCCCATCAAGTTTGTTTTTTACAGATCACAACCTTTGCTTGGGAAGTGGCGTGCGCACGTTTCCAGCCCTGTTTATTACGTACGCACCGTTAAAGTAACTAATGGTGCGTTCAGGGTCTGATTGAACTGTGTTCAGTTTCAAAACATCAGCAGTAAACTGGGAGGAACATTTTGGATTTGGGGTACCACATAAACACTCCCTCTCTGATCAGTCAGCTGCAGGAACATGTGACAGTTTGGGGTAGCCTACTTTATATTTACTCATATATTTATTCATTTTACTTTAATTAATTAGTTAATTTCCTTCTGCGTGTCCGTCGTTACCACAGAAACACTTCCTCTCTCAGTGGCAGAAACATGTAACAGTAGCTGACGGTGCGTTCAGGTGCTGTCAGGTTATTTCTTATCTCCTTGTGTTAAATGTGGGTCAGTGATGTGAAAGCTGTCAGTTAAAGTGTGTCACAGTGAGGGTTTGTTTGTGTTTCACAGGTGAATAATGATGAAGATGAAGATGATGGTGTGGTGAACTATGAAAACGATGGAGACCCTTCTGCCTCTGTCAGACTCCACTGATCAACAACTTCCATATCAACATCAGCTCATCAGAGAAAAGACTCCACTGCAGTTAAATAACAGCACATTTACACGAGTAGTTGAAGCCTTTAGAGAACTGTTGAGAAGATTTCTTAAGGTGCTTTGTTTATGTAACAAGGAAAGGTCAGACAGGTCTAGCTTAGAGTAAAGCCTAGTTCACACCACACAGTTTTAAGCCCGATTTGCCGCTCGGCGACCGTCAGGCTGTGATCAGGGGTAAATCAGAGATCGATCGGCGGTCGCCAGTCGTCATGTGTGAACTACTCAAGGACGCTTCAAAACGGCTTCCCGACACATTTCTGACACATCGCAGACGCCAGCCAGATATCTAGCATCCAAATATCTGGAGCATTCGGCCGTCTCGACATCCACATCCAGCCAATGAGAGCAGGCAGCTACTTTTCACCGCAAAACACTTTTTACTCCCCTCCAGCTCTCTGTAGCTCAGACGATCCCTGCTACCTGCCTGTGCTAATCCTTTCTTTCACCCAGAGTCTTTCTCTTTATAATAACAAACAGCTGTTTTGTCTGTAGGTTCGCCTCATTTCCCGTTTCACATTTCACGTGTGTTTTCTTGACAAAACGTGGTTTGGAGACCAGCGTCGGGTGACACAGCCGCTGTCAGCTCGTGTAGTGTGTGACCCCCTGTCACCGATCAGTCAGGTAGTGTGAACGCCACGACGACTTCAAGACTCACGTCACAAGACGGCAAGTTGTGCAGTGTGAACAGCACGGCCATCGGCCGACGCTGAACCTTCTCACAGTATTTCTTCAACAATAACAAAAATTTTTAGATTTTTATTACTGATTGTTTTTATTTATCAGTGTGAGAAATGTTTGTGTGTGTTGTGCTCAGCTGTTTCTGTTTCAGTCTGACTTTGAACAACAATATTCAAGTCTTGATTTCATCTCATATCAGGAAGCCCACTGTGAGTTTTATAAAATGTCTTTTCCTGCATCAGTTGTGAAAATCTTTATTTTCTGCAGCCAGTTCAGAACACAGCAGCTGGATTTCAGCTTCATTTAACAGGAACGAGCATTTAACTCTAGTAACAGTCTCCTCTTTATTATATCTGATAACAATATAAACTGCAAATAAAGAAATGTTCACCACTTTAGTCTACATTGTGTTTTGTGATTCCTTCATGTACTAACGGTGTCATAATGGAAAGTGAATATTCTTTACTGTTAGGAATGTGGTTTTTGTGTTCATGTCTTTCCTGTTTAAGTCTGTTTTTGGTTCTGTGTTTCTCTGTGTAGTCTTGTTTAGTTAGTTCTTAGTCCTGCACATTAGTTAATGTCTTTTGTGTTTACTCCTGGTCTTGTGTTCCCTGTTTAGTCTTGTGTGTTCCCTTGTTCATTTACTGGTTCTGTTTAGCTCTGCATCTCAGCCCTGTGTCGTACTTGTGTATTCTGGGTTAACTGTCTCTCTCTGCCGGCCTGGTTCTGTCATGATCCCGTCTGTGTGTCTTGTTTGGGAGTCTGGGTTTAGTTCCATGTCCTTAGTTCATGTTTTGGTGTTCATTCCTGGTCCTTGTTTGCATTATTGTGGTTTGGTCTCCTCTGAACTCGGTGTTCTAGTTCTGTGTTCTCGTTTAGGTTCTGGTTCTTTGTAACTTGTGTGTGTTTCTGTCTTCTTGGTTATTCACTCTGCCCCATGTCTGCTTGTCTAAGTGTTCTCTCTGTTTCCCCCTGCTGTCTCTCTGCCTGCCTGCTTGTCTCTCTGTCTCTGCCTCGTTAGTCCTGATCCCGCTCACCTGTGTTGCTCCCGCCCCGCTCGTTAGTCCCTGTGTATATTTATGCCTGCTTGTCTCTCCAGTCTTTGTCACGTCCTTGCGTCTAATGTTGAGTGTTCCTTTGTTTTCCTTGTTCTTGATTATTCCCTGTGTTTTTGGATCACCTTGTGTTCTGGATTACCTTTGTTTGGACTTTGCCTCGAGCTCCTTGTAAGCCTGTTTCAGTTAGTCTTTTGAATTAATAAACGTTTTTGAACTGCAACCTCCTCGCCTTGCCATTGTCTGCATTTGGGTCCTCACCTCAGTCTGCACTCAGCTCCCCGACCCGTGACACTTTACTATGAATGTTCTGCCTCTACTAGTAGAACCACCTCCCTCCTCTTGTCCCCTTCTAGTAGTAAACCTTCCCTCTGGAGGACCTCTAACCTTCCAGTGTCATGTTACGTCAGGCAGGGAGCAGATAAAGCAAGGATTCAGACAGAGTGAGAATTATACAGTGACAACTGGGGGGTCAACTTTTTTTCAGGTCGTAAAGGAAACAGCAGGCGCTTGCCTCAGTGAACTGAGCTCTTATCCTGCATTCAGAACAAACGCAAATTTAATCTTTGCAACGCTTTCCTCGAGGTGGTTTCATCGCTGGACAATTGCCAAGTAAACACAACTCACCATTACTACAGCTGTATGAAACCAAAGTAAACATTTTGCTGGGATTTAATTGCAGTAAACGGATCAAACTGATGCAGAAATAACTACAATATGATGCAGATTTGTTAAACATATGAATTCATGCTTTGTCAGGTCTGTCAGCAAGTCAGCAGGACAACAACTTCTAAAAGGTTTGTTTTCTGAATGGAGTTTGGCTCGATCAGGGCTATGCTACGCTAACTTGTTTACAGTAAAGTACAACGATAGCTGGAATAAAGTTACAGACACATATTTTCTGAACTCACCAGGTAGTTCAACTTCCTCGCTTTCTTTTCTCCAAGTAAAGTTCAGTTTTTTCTGTTTTTTATATAAATATGAAGTATTTGTCCAACAGAGCTCTGGGTGCTGTAGCAGACCTAAATTTATTAGTTATGCATTTTAATAAATTTATAAGAATTGATACCCAATTATGAATTATTCTTATTCAGATGTGATAGGGAAGGCAACAGGGGTTTAGCACTAGGACCCAGGTAAAGGGGCAGAGTCTATAAATAGGGAAGGGAAGATCACCTGGTCCTTTCTTTCTGCAGTCACACACCTGAGGGAGCAGCTGAGGCCAGCCTTTGTTTGGTTCTTGATTGGGTAGGCTCTATTTTTAAATAGGTTTTACTTTTAAAAAATGTGTAAAAATCTAAGGCTACTAATGCATTTCCAGAACTAGATCTTAGAATAATTTGTAGTTTATTTTATTAAAGATAAGTTGAAGAATTGTTAAAAACCTGTTATTTATTAGACTTCGTGGTGCTGAGGGTCTAAAGCTTGGAGTGATTGTCTAAACACATCAGCTAAAGCACAGGTATGTGTAAGATGGTTTTAAACAAGATTTTAGCCTTTTTTATATGAATGTAACAGGAATATTTGAAAATCTAGATCCCAGTCACCTGCATGCCTTCAACAGCGGGAGGAGAATGTGTTTCTAAGAAAAGCAAGGTATGATAATTGTTACATTTGCTTATCTTTCATGAAATGTTTCTTTTAAAGTGTTTTTGTATCTTACTGTGTTTTTGTTTGTCTTGTTTCAAATAGAAGTTATTAGGAGAGCCAACCACTGTTTTTTCCCACCGGTTAGTTTTATTGTGCTCACACTAGAGTTTCTGGCTGTGTTAAAGGGGGAAACTGAAAGACAGAGTAACCATTTTGCATGGGTGTTTTGTGTAATTAGTGTGTAGCATGCAGATAGTGTTTTTCCATAGTATTTGGTTTAATTGGTTTGAGTGTGTGGGTTATTTCCTTATTTGTTTATCAGTTTGGTTATAATTTGTCGGTGCTCAATTCTACATCAGTTTCCCTGGTAATGCAGTCTAGTCCTGAATTGTGTTTTTCTTTTGTTTTGATGTAACAAATAAACTTTATATTCCTATACTGATATAGTAGCCTCTGGTCCAGTTTGTTCTGGCACTTGTGATTGAAGCAGCATGTGGTTTACACATAAAATCAAACCAGATTCCTCGTAAAGGGCACCACTGGAGTTGTTATAATCCTAGAGTCTCCGGACCTCTAGGTAGTTTTGAATAATTATACAATTATTACTAGTGATCAGTTAGTTAATAATCGCTCAATTATCTTAAATCAGTAAGTCAGTCTCATATCTAAAGGGTCAATTCTCTTGGCAGGAACTATAAATAGGCAACGCACACAGCTCTTGATTATTTTACAGTGACTTTATTCTCTAACTAAGGTGATAAAAAGATGGTTGGATACAGGGAACCTAAACATTTGCTGAACAATGAGCCTGGAGGTTCGATTGTGGGAAGCATTTGACTCATACGGCATAGAAGAACTAATGAGAGTAAACTAATGCTATGATTTTAGGAGTTAAAATGGACATCTGATCACAGAACGTGTATTGAGTCTTACTGCTTGTCGACAGCCTGCTTTCGGCCTGTTGCACGGGTCCCACGCTAGCTGCCCGATCCTGGCTTTTTGCTAGGGATTCTCCAGGGTTCTCCGTGTCTGAATGAAAACGCCTCCTCCGTCTGGCAATTCGGCTGTTTGCAGGTTTCCTTCGTTGTAGCTGGCGAGACCACGTGGCTTGGTCTGACCTCGGTGAAGTTGGCTCGACGGAAAAGGCTTAAAATGGAACTTGGTCGTTCCTGAATTAGTCCAGTGTAACTTAACGGACTGATAACTTTAACAAACAAAAGAAATAAAGAAAATAAAACAAACTGAAGGGCAGATCGATGTCTCGGCACTTCAGGTGTGTAGCTTCAGGCGAACAAAAGGGCCTGTTTGTTTCGCTGGTCGACTGAGGGCGTTGCCTGGCGTGGCACGCCACGTGCGTGCCGAAGCGTCCAGAGAGCAGAGCAGAGCGGAAGAGCAAGGAGCGAAGAGAAGAGCGCGCGCGAGGTTGCGTGTCACTCTTTTGTTGCCTGGGGCGTGGTTCCCCAGGGGGCGTCTCAGGTTTCCCCAGGGACTGCC